AAAAAAAAAAAAAAAAAAAAAAAAAAAAAAAAAAAAAAAAAAAAAAAAAACCTCAATCCATATGCAGTGTACATCGCTATATCCCAGTTACGGAGGAGGCAGGGAGATTAAAAGCTCAAAGCTGCTAGGACAATTTAGCAAGACCCTATCTCAAACAATGAAAAGGGCTGGGGGATACAGCGCCGTGGTAGAGGGCACCAGGGTTAGACTGTACCCACCCCTAAATTATGTCAAACATATTATGTAGCACTACAGTAAGAGCAAAGAACTATAAAACTCCTTTCAGAAAGAAGAGGGTAAGATAATCTCACTAAAATCAACAATAACAAAATACACAGAACATAAAGTAAGCCCTTTACAATGAAATAACAGAACATAAGCTCTTGTACTTGTTTGCAATGGGTCAGGTTTTTCTGACTCAAGTTTGGATGGCCTGATTCCCGAGATCAGCTTCCAGCCACCCTGCAGGCTTGGGCCATGCCAGTCTACCTATCTGCAGCTGTGGCGGCCTCAGTTCCCATACATCCAAGAGCTCAATGCTTCCGCTTTGTCCTAGGGCCTAAGTTCATTTACAGTTGATCTAAATTCAAAGGAGTGACTTTCTAAATATATCCCAGCCCTGAACAGATACATGATTCACTATTATTCTCATCAGAGCAGCACTTAATATTTGTTGCTGCTTCCTCCAGAATTTAATCATCTCAAACTATAACACGGTGCTTACATGTAATATATACACACAGACTAAAGGAAAGACTACTCACCAAACTGAGTATTTTATTTTTTGTTGTTGCTTTTTATGGAAGCCGTGTTTCAAGTAAGGGACTTGCTTTGTAGCCCAGGTTGGCCTTAAACTTGCAGAGATCCTCCTGCCTCAACCTCCTGAGCACTGAGATTATACTCATGGGTCATTACTTCCAGGAAAGCATAGATTTCCATGGAAGTGGGATTAAAGAGAAAGGGCTTTTACACTTAACTTCATCCCTTTCAAGTATGCTAAGCATTTGCAAGTAAATGACTATAAAGATGAACCCTTTGGGGCCAGGGAGATGGCTCAGTGGAATAAGCGCTTCCATGGCAAGCGCAAGGGTCTGAGTTCAATCCCCGGTTCCGCAAAAAAAAAAAAAAAAAAAAAAAAAAAAAAGATGAAACCTTTATATACATAGGGCTGGGGATCTTGTCAGTGGTAGAACACTGCCCAGGACGCTAAAAGGCCCGATGGGACATTTTTTTTGGCGGAACCGGGGATTGACCTTAGGCCCTTGCGCTTGCCAGGGAAGCGCTTATTCCACTAAGCCATCTCCCCGGCCCCAAAAGATGGCAATTTTATTTATTTATTTATTTATTTATTTATTTATTTATTTGCATAACCAGGGATTGAACTCAGGCCCTTGTGCTTACCAGGAAAGCGCTTATTCTACTGAGCCATCTCCCTGGCCCTCTATTAAACTTTTAAACATTTTCAAGACTGGCTACTGAGTTCCAGGTGTTGCAGTAAGAACTGAAAGTGAATACTCCAGTACATGGAAGTTCAGTCTCATGAGAGACACGATCAAATGGGAAGCCCTAACATACCCTAACGGTTTCACTCCATTGCTGAGCTCTCATGGTCCAAGTGATGCAGACTTTTCACTATGGTCCTTTCCACAACTGCATGAGATGTTTTAGGGCTTTTTGCAGTATTAGGGATTAAAGCCAGAAATACTCTGCCAATGAACTAGCCCTTTCTAATCTTTATTTATTTATTTTTATTTATTTATTTTGTGGAACCAGGGACTGAACTCAGGCCCTTGCACTTGCCAGGCAAGCACTTATTCTACTGAGCTATCTCCCCGCCCCTCTAATCTTTATTTAGAGATAGGGTCTTTCTTTCTTTTGAGATAGGTCTTAGCCTCCCCAGTGCTGCGATTATAGAAGTGTGCCACAGGGCCCAGTTTAGACTGGTACTGTACTCTTATTATCCTCATCTGGTGGATCTGAGAAAAAGAACAGTTAGGCAGTAAATTTCCTTAAGTGTAACCAGTTTATACACAGCACATTTGGAGACTCAAACCTAGGCAGTTAGATGATATTTCCCCTCCCTATTACTTTCTCATACTTACTGGAGTTCTTTCTGAAATTTAAATTCACTAGAGACAGGCATGGTGGCACATGCCTATAATCCTCACTCTCTGGAGGCTGAGACAGGAAGATTATTGTGACTTCAAGACCAGCCAGGGTTACCTAGTGAGTTCAAGGCCAACCTACACTACACAGTGAGTCCCTGTCTCTAATGAATAAACTAAAGTTATAAAAACAAAGCCCTGTAATGCTGTGCCTTTCCCAAAGGACAAGGCAGCCCTCCAGTGCCCACATGGCCCTGCATGCTCAGCCCCGCTCTCCTCTAGGCCTCATCCTCCCTGGCAGAAGTCCCTGCCCTGCTCTCAGCAGCCAGGCCCACTTTCACCTGCCTCTAATGGCACTGTGCCTCTCCTGGACACAGTGCCTTGTGGGACCCCTGCATGCTCTCTGTGCCTTTCCAGAGCTCCTGGGTACACAGCAAACTCGGAGTGCTCTATGATATATTTATTTGCCTACTGCCTGTCTCCTTTGTTATAATTTAAGCTTGATGAGAGCAAAAAGGCCTTTTCTTTTGTAGTATTTGGAATTGAACCCTTTGCACTGAGCTATATCCCTAGACCCTTTATTTATTTTTTTGTTTGTTGAGACAGGGGCTTGCTAAATCATTAAGCTGTCCAGCTGGGCTTGAACTTGCAATATTTTTCTAGTGGGTCAAGGATTGAGACAGTGTCTCACTATGCAGTTCAGACTGGCCTTGAACATGGCGACTCTCCTGCCTTAGCCTCCTGAGGTTACAGGAAAGCACCCCCACACCCAGTTAAGAAGCCTACCTTGGGCTGGTGAGATGGCTTAGTGGTCTAAAGCACCTACTTAAAACAAGCTTAGCAAAGCACAGGGGCCGCGGTTCAATCCCCCAGCACCACATGCCAGCCAGCCCCGCCCCCAAGTGGGCTGAGCTGGCCACACACACACACACACACACACACACACACACAGATAAATAAATAAATTAATTAAAAAAACAAAAAAAAGCCTACCTTGATTGTGTTACACACAGCAGTTGCTCCGGAAACATCTACAGGATGAATGTCTGGCTGATTGTCTAAATATACTAGCCTTTTCTAGAGTTTATCAGTCTCCACTTTCTTACCTCTTGTTCATCTCCCCGCCTCTGTTAATATTTCATTTTTATTGGTGCATGCTTGCAGCCTATAATGGTTATCCATCATTGGGTTGGTCAGGTATGTAACATGTCCTCATTCTTTCATCCCCTTTCCTTCCTCTCTCTCCCCTCTCTTCATCTCTTGGTCCCTTTCCCTTTCACAGGTGAACTGTTTCCTACTGCCCATTTGTTATTTTACTTTTCACTGATACTTTGGGCTTCTCATAGAAGAGAAACCACATGATATTTAAGCCTGTGTGTCTGACTGACTTCACTTAACATTATGGTCTCAAAGTGTATCTACTTTCCTCATTCATTCTTTAATTTACACTAAACTGGTTTCTACCCTTACTATTTCACCCAAACTGTAAACGTCACCAGTGACCTTCAAGTTGCCACACAAAACTTGTTTCTGTCTCTATTTTACTGCACATCTCAATAATAATTCAGTTAGGCCAGCCTTGGCAAAAGTCATAGCAAGTTGAAGGCTGACCTGGACCACATCACCAGACCCTGCCTCAAGACATAAAAACAAACACAAGGAGGCCCTCACCAGAAACAAAACCCTAGTCTCAGATTGTTGGCTTCCAGAAGTATACAGGCCATCCAAGTGCAAGTATTTTGTTATATAATCTTAGAAACTACCACATACTCCTGTGATACTACACAGTGAAAAGCACCTCCATCCTCCCAGTTCTTCCTCCCTTTCTTTTACTCTATTCTTTAAATCTGGGGCTGGGGAGATGGCTCAGTGGAATAAACACTTCCCTGGCAAGCGCCAGAGCCTGAGTTCAATCCTCAGTTCCACCAAAAATAAATAAATAAATAAATAAATCTAACCCAGTGATACAGAGGTTTCTTTCTCCAAACTATATCTCAGGCCCACTCATTGCTCTATATGCCTACTGCCCTATCTCAGGTGCCTTGTCGGCTACACTTCTGCACAGGCTGTTCCAACCCACCTGCTCACAGCACCATGGGATGGAATTAGGCCCACAGCACTCTCTGCCTCACTCTGCAGCTATTTGCAGGGCAATCAGAGTAAAAGCCACTCTCGGACCCTCAGCACAGAATGGTATACCAGCCTGGCCCTGCCCACCCTCGCTCCCCTGCTCACTACAGCCTAGCCTTGCTGCACTTCCTCAAACCACTCCAATCTTTTCAGTCTCAGAAAAGACTTTAAGAAATGGTGTGAAGAGGCTGGATGTCCATATGTAGGAGGAAAAAAACTAGAAGCTGTGAAACTACTAAAAGAAAGTGGCAAACATGTTGGAACATAGGCCTGAACAAAGATATTTTGAAGCCAAATGTGGTACACACCTATAATCCAGTACTCTGTGACTGAGGCAGGAGGACTGCAATTAGCTCCCAGCCTCAGCAACTTAGTGAGAGTCTGTCTCAAAATAAAGAACTAAAAAAGGCCCTGAGTTCAGTCCCTAGTACCAAAACAAAAACAAAAGCCTATCTTGTGACCCAGAAACCCCACTCGTGGGCACGCAGATAAAGGGACTAGAGTCATGGTGTCACACTCCTATAGTCACTGCAGCGCTACTTACAGCAACCAAGACGCAGAATCTATCTAGGTGTCTGAGGACTGGCGACTGGATATATATACACAGTGAAACTTTTTTTTAACTAAATCTTTTGCCTCATTTTTTGGTTTAGGTTTTTGTTGTTTTTTGGCAGAACCGGGGATTGAACTCAGGCCCTTGCACTTGCCAGGCAAGCGCTTATTCTACTGGGCTATCTTCCCGGCCCCAAGGTTTAAGTTTTCAAAATGAAGTCTCACTACGTAGTCCACTGGCTTTGATCCTCCCACCTCAGTCTGCCCAGTTCTGGGATCACAGGCATGCGCCACTATGCACTGCCTCAGTGGAACTGTATTTGGCCACAAGAATGAACTGAACTTCTGTCATCTGCATAACATGGCCAGAGCTTGAGGACAGGAAGTGAGTCAGGCACAGGATGACAAACATGTGTCCTCACCTACAAGTGGAAGGCGGGAATGAAAACACACTCAAGATACATAACGTAGGACATTAATGAATAGATGTGAAAAATGAGAAATAAAGCAAATGGACAAGCTTCTTTTTCAGTGTAGATCAGTCAGTCTATTTTATTCTCCTCTAAGAAACACAGGAGAAAAAGAAAAAAGAAACAGGATGGGGCCGGGGAGATGGCTCAGTGGAATAAGCGCTTCCCTGGCAAATGCAAGGGCCTGAGTTACATCCTCGGTTCTTGGGGGCCTGCCCCTTAGCTCAGTTCTTTAAGTGGCTGCTTCAACAAAGCAGTCAGGCTCAGGTTGCTGTGGTTCGATCCCCACAACTCAAG